TAATTTCACCCTCCTCTCGACACATAATAACAGATGGGAAAACCTGTGGTTTGAAATGTTTTAATCCCCTGCTGATTCGGTTATTGTGTTGCTTGGATGTGACTGATAGTGCTAATGTTGGCCAAAGTCTAGGTTCATGGAAACGTTAATTCCCTGGTCATGGCAGAAATGCTTATCTGTGTACTCCTCGTGTGTTTATTTAGTGGTTTGGAAATCTGGTAACTCTGCGATGGTGGAATGACTTGTGGTTAAACGAGGGGTTTGCATCATATGTTGAGTACCTCGGAGTCGACTACGCCGAGCCCACCTGGAACATTGTAAGAGACGTGCTTGCATCTCCACAGACAGCAAAGTTCGATACAGTTCTTAACAGATGTACACTTTTGTGTCACAGATTGGTAACTTTCTTGGTTCTCTTTCTCTGCTCGGCTGCAGAAAGATCACATCATCCTTTATGATGTTCAGAAGGTGTTTGCTGTGGACGCCTTGGCCTTCTCTCACCCACTGTCACGTGGAGAAGAGGAAGTCAATGAGCCCGCTCAGATCAGTGAAATGTTCAACACTATCTCTTACAGCAAGGTCTGCTCCTCCTGTAATTTTACACAACATTTTATGCAAGTTGATTCACAGAAATTAAGTATGTATTCTACATTATCACCCACATTTGCAGACAATATAGCCAGATTTGAAGCCCTTTTGATTTTAAACTCTCATGTTTATTAAATTATATTACTTTGTGTTCAGCTAATTTGCAGTAAAACGCTCAGTTTTCCCAATTCACTCAGTCTTCCTGCGTCCGTGTGATTCATATCGCACCATCAGGACAGCAACTCGTTTTAATGTTTGCTTTGTGATTTGTGGAAAATCCCTTTCCGTTATGAGAAACTCAAGCTCACCAAATTCTGGCGGTTTGTTTTTCCAAGGGTGCAGCAGTGCTAAGGATGCTGTCAGAGTTTCTCACCGAGCCCGTGTTTGCTAGAGGACTCGGTGTGAGTATATCGTCACTTCATCTCTGCTGCCGTAATGTGTGTGCGACTGTCAGCAGACTAGGAATTAATGATGCTGTGTCTGTGGTTATTTAAGCCAAAAAATGTTTCCTGGTAAATTCCCACTATATTCCTTTCCTCGTGATTGCATCATATGATCCTCATCTCCGTTTTGTGTCTTCAGTCTTACCTGAACACATTCGCTTTTGGTAACACTGT